TAGCAAAGTTAATCATTAACATTTAAGAGTTAAGTACATCTTCAAGTTCATTATCTTAAATATTGATGTTGAATATATGCTATTTGTATTATATAGATATGCTTTCAGCATGTGTTGTAGTTTTAACATGATTTGACAGGTGTTTGATGCATAAATACTTTCTATCATTTTTCATTATAATAACATCAGTCAGCAGATATTCAAATAGTTTTCAAATAAATTTTATTTAGAAGAAACTTTTCATGTCTTTTTTTCATGCGTTCTTTCTTTCGAATGATGTGATTTTCAAAATGAAAATACTCAAACATACATACCATTCGATCGGTAATATGTCGACCGCTGTCTACATCGCTAATTCTATATAATCTCAAATAATTCATTTAGGAAATATAGTCTAGCCGGGCTGCAGTTTTCAAACATTTGATTTAATATATTTTTGAGAAGATGTGGATTAATGGCAAAGCATATCGTAGCAACATAAGATTCTCGGATATTGTAAACGATTCATTATTTGGTATAATTGTGATATTATAGTTTTCTATATTAACAAATTTCTTCTGTTAGAAGCTAATATATATCACATTTATAACCATGAGCGTAGAAAATTTTATCTTTATTTTGGTAACAAAGAAAAACGCGAGAACGAAATTAAATTGTTTTGTTACGTAACACAATTAACGTTCATCTGTCAAAATCTATTTGTTCATCGATTCGATCATTTGTATGCTGCTAATGAAAGTTCCAAATGTTGGGCTACGAATTTGAAACTCGAACCGTTCGTTTTGTTTTATTTCCATTTCTTACAGTGCTTGTGGTGCAAACGCATATTAAGTTTGTGCGCATGCATGCAATCTGTCCCTGGTGGACTTGAGATAGACTCATCGATTATTATACCGATCCGAAAGTGATTCTGAAACGATTTAAGCTTGTCTGTCCGACTGTCCATCTCTCCATTTATCCATTTTATTTCTTGTAGTCATCCTACAGACCACAATTATTGACCTATTTTGGTGAAAGTTGGTACACCAACGTGTTTTGACCCAACTCAAACTACTTTTAAGGCCGTGTCGCCTTATTATTGAAAAGTCATAGAATATAAAAAAAAAAAATTGGAGATTTCAAAATTTCCCAACAAAAATCGTTCAGTTTCGGCATTCTAAAGCCCCTTTCATTTTATCGCTCCTGCGAAAAGTAATTGCTTCTATTGCAAAAGGATTCGTGATCAAAATTGATCAATAAATAAAAGTAGCTTGGCATCAAAATTAACTGTACCAAATTTTGACCACCTACGTCTATGTTTTGTATTCCACATTATGAATTCATGAAAACTAGGCCTTTCTATGGCAAAACTTCTAATTCTCAAATATTTTATGTTGAAGGCGGTCCATAACAATAATTTGGCATAAAATTCAACCAGAGCAAACTTGGATTATATAGATTTATTTTTTGACCACGATCCCGTGTAAGAACTGCCACGAGATAAGGCACAGTTTTTAGTGCTTCATTACGAATATATATATAAAAGACTAGGCTAGGCGAAGTGTACGCGCCTGACTACAATATTTTGATTAATTTGTATTCACAAGAACTTGCACGTATAAGAAAGAAGGACAAGGATATCTATCATCAGCAAGCGTTGTATGATTATTATAAAGCTTTGTATATATTGGTATCATTGTTTATCGTAATCTGTTTTTTTAGATATTAGATTGGATTAAATTAAAGGATACCAACTCGATGAAAATATTTTTTAAGCAATTCTTTAAAGGCTACCGTCTAACATATTGTTTGGTTAATAGCTTTAGCAAGTCTACAAGCCCTTTACTTTCTTACGAACTTTGTTCGGTTTCCTATGATATTCAACATTAATCGACCAGAAATAATGATTTATAAAATGGAAATAAAAACATTGCTGAGTTCAGCGTAAAGAAATCGTTTGCACGACAATGTTAATCGAATTTTCTGTAAAGGAGAAATTACTTTAAAGTTTGCAACTTAACCTCGACAATAATTCAAAAAGTTTGCCTCTTTACCCCGACTAATAATAAAGTCTTTACGCGACTGCACAAGAAATACCGAGACAAGCGGCCTGACGGCTTTCAATTTGCGAGCTTGAAAAATCGTTTTCAAAATACTTGATGTCCTTTTTCTATCTGTGGCATACGGCGAGGTCTAGTGCTAGCACTTTTCTAGAGAAATTCGTTCAAAGATAATCGCGATTTAAGTAACCAGTAACAGGATTCATTTAAATGATGTTCAGTTATAATACAAGACTAAATTTATTTGGCTTCTATTAACTGTGCTCGGCCAGGAAATACTTTTACGATTAAAATTTACTCAATAATTCAATCTGAGAAGTAATTGTTCGAATATTTTTCACCTTTGCCGGGGCTTTAGGAAAAATAAGAATCTGACCGATAGTTTGGGGTAATTTTCTTACTAATTCTAGACGTAGTAGTATATCGATTGGGAGCGTTTCTAAACTTAAGCGATCTTTTGCATGTGGGCTTCGCAAATGTCTCAAATTGCTGGTGAAAATATATTGAAATTTTCAGTTGTTTTTTTTTTCGGAATTTTAGGACCACGGAATTTTGCTTGCGGACCACATAGGACTTTAACTTCCGTAACTTGGTTAGGAAATTGACGGTCTTTGGCGTAAAACCACTAGGTAGATAAAAAAATCATAGCATATATCTTTACTTATTTAATTCTTTGTTATTACGATAATAATTTTCACATGACGGCAGGAGTATATAAATATTATTAAATCAATTGAAAATGCCAGGTAAAATGTATTTTGCACGCAGGATAACATTTTCTATTCCGTTAATGAAAAAGTAAAAAAAAACAAAAAAAAACTAAATTAAATTCATCTACGAAATTTATTGGGCGGATGTTCAAGCTACGCCTTAAGGTAAATAAAGTGCAATTGCTTACTAAGCTAACAACACGTAAGAGATCTTTGGATGACCATGTACACCATGAAATGTTAAATGTATAAATAAATTCTATGCTTTAAAATTGATTGCTTTAAAAAATATATGTAATGCGTCCGTTCGTTGCGAAATATTCGGGTACAGATAAATTTAACATTGGTATTTACATGTTATGCATTCTCGTTTACTGTATATCAAAATGTAAAGAGATGGAAGTCATTTACGGCGCTGCGCCTTTTCCCATTTCAAACAAAATTGAGCTAGAAAAGCAACAGAGCTTGAAGCCAGGAAAAGATTGAATTTGCATGGAGTGAAAACGTAGTAAGGTATGAAACAATTGGAATTGAGTTCTTAATCTCGAAAACGGTGCAAAATTTCGAACACGTCCCCAGGAACTGATTCTTAGCTTGCGCTAGGAACAATTCCCGATTGCGACATGTTTTCCAGATCTGTCTTCTTCTGATTACCTCCTCTGCTTTACTGATTCATATCGGTCATCATCATCATCATCATCATCACAATTTATGGTCTTTTGTCTCGTATTCGTTAACTTACTTTTTTACTCTCGCGGTACAAACTATATTGTTTCAAACTGAAATAATCATCCATCCATTTTCGGACGTCATCAACTTTTGCGGGCTACTGATCCGCTAAATATGATCGCATCGTGAGAAGACTCGTTAAAGTAAAAACAAAAAAACTTCATTGCTCTTAGTATATCAAATTTGGTATAAGTCTTAGTACCGTGAAGTTTAATATCAAAATCTTTATCGTAACGAGACGAAGATAAGGCAATTTCCTTGCCTACGCCTATCTACTTGTAGCTGTTGTTCTTATTCAATGAATTCGTTGCATGGCTAGACCACGATTTCGAGAAAGCAGGAAGAAAATGTAGCAAGGATTTGATAATAAACGAACTGAAATATTTTTGAATACATACATACACAGACATGAAAAGTCTTAGGGCTAAGATGTTATGAGAATTTTTGAAAATTCTGGCATAGTATTGTTTGCATTCTTCATAAATTTATGCAATGCATATGTGAAAAAGAAGTAAATCTTTAAGATAATTTTGTAATGATTTACTAGATATAAGCGTTTTGTGCAATAACCTAATTTCACAAGTACTCAGCTAACTAATGTATTATTGTATACGAGCAGGAAAAAAGAAAAAATAAATAACTGCATTTTTTTTCATCAATACAAAATTTAATTATGAATTATTTATTTTATGGTATGACCAGAGAACACATGTTATTTGTATGTTAACACTTACTAAAACATAATCACATCATTAACAAGAGGTTTGATTATAATCAAGCAAAGCAAACCAGAGCGTGAATATTTATATCTGTCTCTCCTTCTGTGTACGTGTGTTTGTACGTGTGTTTGTACGTGTGTTTGTACGTGTGTGTGTGTGTGTGTGTGTGTGTGTGTGTGTGTGTGTGTGTGTG